TAAAAACAAATAACCATTACCAATCATCTCATTTCAAAACAAATAATCATCTGGTGTAGGTATTTCATAATTCCCAAACAACTTGTAGTATACACACATCTAGTAATCCGTTTATGACGTATGTTCGCGCGTCAATTTCCTTGAAGATGAATAGGCAATTTAAAAATATTTACACCTGTTTCGCCATGAAAAAATTACTTTCTACACACTAGACAATTTTATTAGGTCATTCATAATTTCATTCATAGTATTTACAATTGTTGCATTGTTGCCAAGTCTTCACTGATGTCGAGTAATTTCATTTAAAGAATTATCTTTTTGAAACAAATGCAATATGGGAGAACACAAAAACATATATTTCTCATCAACTTGTAGTGACAAAGCGTTGTTTCAATGGTTTGTATGTAATACGCACATTTCCCTAATGATGGAGTGAATTTACTATAATGCTTTCTATAAGTAATGGAACTGTACGAAAATGCTCTAATGAATAGAAATTGAACCACACCAAAAGATCCTCAGTAGGGTGGCTTTTTTTTCAGTGTGTTCACTCTTGGAGTAATTGTTCAATCAGTTGTCTGCAATGTGCCCCAAAATGCTCAGGTCATAGCGATGCAAACGGACTCCTGTTATTACACCAGCTTTGTTTGATTATGGGAAAATGTTTCCTCTAGAGATGAGGGGTGATAAGTATTATAGAAACAAATTATGATTTATTTGGACCGTCAGAACTCGCAGACGTGAATGGCTTCGTCATCATTGTCGATTCCTGCATAGCTATAGATGATGAATCTCGTTCACAGCTGTAGAAATAAATCATGGCTGCCTGAAAAATGCATTTCCAAAGATTTCAGCTACTTGGCAGATAGTAACGACTAGCTCTGGGATGAATCGTAGTCAGGCTGTAACGGCTTGTTCATAATATGTACTCCATGGTCGCAAAAAATCAATATCCGCTACTTGCAAACGATATGTCGTGTGCGAGGAAGACACAAGATAACACCATGATCGCGGGCTTCATTGATCAGAGCAATGTTTTGGGAAAAATAAGTATGGGTGGAACATGTTTTCAGCTGCACTGAAGCATACATAAATAACTGTTTCTTCACAGTTGTAAATACGACCAGGAGTCAGTGTCTGCTTATCATACACTTTGAAGAATTTTTGCAGTTACTTTGTTGAATCCAGGTGCTCTAGTAGCGGAAATGTTTTCTGGTTTTCTTATTATAAGCTGTAGCCATTGACCCACCCTCTACCTGCTTCTTCTTTCTCGGCGTTGAATGGATTAAGTTTATTATTTTTCATTTGCCAACTGATATGCGATATGCCTTGAGATCTTCAGTTGTACCTAAGTCCGTATCCCCGTTCTTCCATTTCTAATAAATACACATAAAACTCCTCTTTTTCAGCCATAAAAAAACAGGTGACTTAGGACCCAATGGTACCTTAATAAGTATAGGTGAATTTTTAACCAATGCTTTTTATTCATTGCTGAGCGAGCTGCCTTTACTTTCCTTTCTCATGTCGTTTGTGGCACAAAAATTGTCTTGACGCTTTATAATAGCCAATTTTCTCATCCAGCTTGTTGGCTATCTCAAATGTTAACCTTATTATAGATTAGTTCAAGCGGCATTATTTAATAAACCACAGTCAACTGTAGAAGACAGAATGAATATGTTAAGCACTTCGCAGTAAATCAGTTTTTTTCGAAATATTTCGTCACTCGTGAACTTACGAACACTGTGACATGTGTCATGGTGACGCATCGAATTATGCATATGTGGCCGTGATTGTTCAATTTGACCTCTCTATTACCCTGGGTATCATGTCTTACCCGGTACCCTATCTTGCCTCCCTCTCCCCTATATACCTATATGAGTATCAACTGAAGGGTTTCATATGAGTGGAATCGATACGATAAGCAATTATAAATCTAAGCTGGCGAACGCCTTCTCATTGAGGAGCTAAAGCAAATTAAAATCCAAGATAGAGTGGATGTAAACATTGACATCACGCACGTGATATTGAAAATCCTAAGAATTCGCCAGGATCGTATTCAAAACCAACATCTTGTTGATCGCAAATGCTATATCATACTTAGGAAAACTTTTATATAATAACGAGTGAAATGCACAAGTTTTGCAGTTTAACGGGAAAAATGCAGATAATATGTGTAATATAAAAAGATTTTCATTGGATTTTTCACAGCGCACTCAAGCATTATATGAAAAGAGACGTAATTATTTCTTTATTGATAATTTTTATTTTATGTAAAATCAAAAGGAATATTAATCAAAATTATTCAACTGGATGAATTTGTCTCTTCATCAGTAGTGTCATCCTCACCAATCTGAATTATCA